AGCATTGTTTCTCACACGGCCTCATGTTGATGCAACACTTAAAGGATGCGGATAAATAATATAGTAACTTCTCTGCTCTGTTGACACTTTCCAGCAATTCTCATTAGGCCAGGCCTTTTAAAGTTATTTTTATTCTCTGCAAGTGTTACGCATTGTATACACTCATCGGAGTGGCAGGCTCGGGGGGGGAGGGGAGGGGGGACACTGCAGCCCTTGCGAGCTCTGTTTTGGGCTGGGGCGGCCTGAAACCCTCCGCCAGCAAAAACGGAGCTCGGGAGGGTCGCACACAGCTCTCGTGAGCTCCGTTTTCGTTGGCAGAGGCATCGCAGACTGGTCCTTCACTGCTTCCAGGGCAGCCCTGCAGGCCAGATCTAAGCACGCCACGGGCCAGATGCATCACCCCCCCGGCCCCAGATCTTGAGTTTGACACCCTTGTACTAGATTGTGCAGAAATGGATACATTGACATTGAAAATTAAACAGAAAGAGGATGTAGAATATTATCAAACATGGAATCTATCTATTTTACCAATGGTTGGAAAAAAGAAGTGGAGATTAAGAATGTAAATTTGTATGGTTAAGCAAATTAAATACCCAGACAACATGATGTTTACTGAGCACTAAGAAATGTATTTAATAGAAAATCAATTTTTAAAAAAATACTGAGCCAGAACTGGCCAGTAGTTTCACTTAGTTGAAGGAACTTTCCTCAGTTCCTTTCTTACAAACCAAGGCTACCTGATGGAAGGGTGAGCTTCAGATGCTGCAGGTAATTGTTTGGCTAAATCATAGTTTGTAGTAACTACAGTTTGTTGGACAAGCCACAATAAAGTCATTTCATTTGCCTCTAATAGGTGTTGATTTTGTTTGATTTGGTATGTAATGAGTATCTGCCGATTTGTAGATCGTGGTTTTTAACTTGGAGTGTTGTTCAAATGTGATGCTTTTGTCAACAAACCATGCATAAGTAAACCACAGTTAAATATAATGCTCAAACCTGTTAAGCATACACAAGTGGTTTCTGGCAGGGATTTGAACCTGTGTTTCTCAGAAGCAATTTATGAAAGAAAAGCTAATTACCTTCCTACTTGTAGAGACATGCATTGCAGACACACACAGAGACTGCATTCACTGCTTATTGAATTAACCTATTTTTTCCCCTGGTGGCTGTAAATCCTTCCACTTTATTCTAAAATCCATGATTGACATTATTGTCCTGGTTTTGTCTTTATTTATTTTTTAAAAAAACAACTGTCTGTACTGATAACGATTGCCATAAGTAATAACGCAGTCTCATAACACAACTTTTTAGTAGTTCCACAATCTCCTTTTTAAACCTGGCCGTTGGACTTCTCTTCATTTGCAGAACATTTTAAAAATGCTTTACATTTTGGGGTTAAAGCTGTCATAATCAGAGCTAGCTGGCTGGCTTAGGACCAAAGAGGCTTCCTGAGCTTGTTGTAACTTGTTTTCCTTTCACAATAACGCTGTCATAATGAGCTGGAGACTGGAGTTTTCCAAGGAGATCATTGTGCTCTGTTTTGCCAATCAGATTATTGCTTTGGCACCCTGTGGCTTTGGATACAAAGCCCACAACGGATTTCCAACATTCTTTGCAGATTTGCTCTCTCTCTCTCTCTCCCCCAAATCTTGCATCCAGTTTTTAACGCTGATTAAAACACAGCTAGTCCTTGAGTTACGACCACAATGGAGCCCCAAATTTATCTTGCCAAGCGAGACATTTGTTAAGGGATTTTTATGACTCTTCTTGCTTACATTTGTTAAGCGAATTACTGCAGTTGTCAAGTTAGGGATTATTGGGTTAAAGTGATACACTTCAAAAGACCCAGCCGCTGCGTCCAATGAGTTCCCAGAATTCCCCAGCTGACATGGTCATTCTGGGGAATTCTGGGAATAGAAGATCACACATCTGGAGTAGTCAAAATGGGGTTGAGTTGTTCCAAAGCAATTCATCATGAAAAAATGTCTTCTGTTCACCGGATTGTTAACATTTGGTCCTTAAGGACATCCTGAATGATTAGAACAGGGATTGTGTTGATCCGGGGTGGCACAAAGGCAACACAATCACATAAGTAAGAAAAGTCCCTTTACTATCTCCAACTTTGCCCCCCAATGTCCAGGTTACCTTCGGTTGGAGAAAAAAACTCTCCCCAAAACAGTCTTTTTGTGGAGGAAATTCAGTCCGAAAACAAAGTACATACAAATTGTAAATAAAAATCCACACAAACCACGCTGCTGTAATTAACTTGACAGGACAGGAGAAGGAATTGCAGACTCGAAGGGCCAGCAAAACACACACAGTTGGGAAGATGCCAGGAATCCAGATAAGCCTCGGCAATACCAGATAATTCATTATTTGCTCTCAACAGTTTGCTGTGTGCAACTTCCCCTTTTAAACACTGTATTCCCAGCTGCAGCTAATGAAGGGAATCAGGGCCCTTTCCTCCCCCATAAGCCATGCAACTCATGTTGTTCCCTTCTCCATTCCTCCCTGTGTGCCCTAGGATGAAGAGGGGGTGGGCCTGTCCTCTCTCCCTTGCTCTACCTCTCCCTTGCTCTACCTCTCCCTTGCTCTGCCCAGCCAGACTTTGCCCTTCCCCAATTTCTTCCACAGAGCCACACTCCCACTCCCTGTCAGTGCTTGGCCTCCCCCTCTGAATCAGATTCTGACAGGGGCATGACGGGGGTCTCCAAACTTGGCAACATTAAGACTTGTGGACTTCAACTCCCAGAATTCTGGGAATTGAAGTCCACATGTCTTAAAGTTGCCAAGTTTGGAGTCCTCTGGATTAGAATACCAATAAAGCATTCATTCTGTTTGGAATATTCTACCTTTGTGTCACCTTTGTTAGGCAGTTATGGATTCTACTTGATTGCAGGCATATATAGCCATGTATTGTGACTGGTTCTCTTTTTGTCCCTCCTTGATGGTTTCTCCCATATTTATCATCCAAAACATTCTGATAATCACCTCTGCATCCGAGTCCTTCTGAGATTGTCACAACAGTGGCATCTCTTTCATCAAGATGCATTTTCAAGGCTATTTCTCTGTAAGGGTTTTGTGTGTGTAAAAAAAATCCTGAGGGGGTTTCCAAAAATATTGTATTCGCTGTGCAACCCTCCGATGATTCTTACCTGTGACTTCATCACAATACATTTATTTAAGGACAGAAAAAACCCAAATTAGTAGCATAATTTCGATGTTCTTAGGAAACGACAATCTGGAAGCACCTCAGGTGAGATTCACAGCTTGAACCTAAGCCAGTATATGGTGTTGTATGAATCTAGCCATTGTAAATTGTAAACAGTGGTTTATAGCTAAATGTATTCATGATGGCTTAATGGTTTAATGTTAAATCAAGACATGACTGAATGCACTGTCAGAAACTGTTATTCTGTATTAAGTTGTGCATTGTACATTCAAAAGAACTTTCAGCCAAGCAACAGAGTCACTTTATCGATGAGATGGATGGCATATACAGTTAACGAATACATTTAATAAATAAAAATAATACATTACTTTCTCCCCCAGTATGTTAAAAGAATTATTTTCAGAAATGTTATGAAATGCTGCTTGGGCTATTTGGTGGAATTTTAAGCTGCTGTATTTATTTTTTAAATATTCGGTTTTAGTTATAGCTTTGCATTGGGGAACTAATTATTGTCAGCTTCTTCAAGTTCCACTTTCTAAACTCAGAACAGAATTTTAAACTAGCAGCTTGGAAAATCTTTTGTGACCTTCAGACCCAAAGACTATTTTGCAATGTCTGGCTGAGGCTGCCCCAATCGGATATTCTTCAAACATGCTGGACTACAATTCCCATCCGTCTTGATTACCGTGGCACTTTGCCAAACCAGCTTGGCAACAAGGAAGATGTAATCTTTATGGGGGCATCAGCTTAGATAAGATGGTCTTATCTAATGAATAATGAAAAAGTGACCTTCCAATTGTAGCTGATGATAACCCATCCATCAGCATTCTCTTAAAATGAGGGATGTGGGCAGTTATAGCCCAGTTCTGGATGCAAGATCAGAAATCTCACATCCCTGATTCTGGGTAAGAGTCTTATTTCTGGTGTTGGGTGTGGCTGGAGTGCAAGCACGAGACCTGCCAATTTGTCCTCTGTCACAATTCTGCACAAATGCTCAGCCCTAAAGTCTTGAATTATGCATGAGAATTAAATGGACAAGGGGAAGATGTTTCTCTCCCCCCAAAACACTAGCATCAGAAGATCACCCTAGGAAATCTTTGAAAAATCAAGACAGACAAAAAAGAAATAATTCAATTTTGGAATTTGCTACTATGAAATGTTGTGGAAATAAGCTGGCCAATCTTCAGTGTCGTTCCTTGGCCAGACTTGGGTCTAAGATGGACCAAAAGGGAACTTCTTTCTTAAATCAGAAGAAAGGACCCCAGGATGTGGGCAGTTAGGGGAAATATTTAGACCCTTGGTTACAATTTTCCATTTATTTAAATGTATTAACAATGAACAATACTGTAGGATAGATAGATAGATAGATAGATAGATAGATAGATAGATAGATAGATAGATAGATAGATAGACAGCCAGACAGACAGACAGACAGACAGACAAATGATAATGGTAGATATATGATAGATAGATAGATAGATAGATAGATAGATAGATAGATAGATAGAT